TCCAGTGTCTTTGCCCAAGAAAACCCCAAATAGGGTCATGAAGAGTTCCCACACTCAGTCCGTCTTTCAGTCAAGTGGTAGTTTATTGTGACGTGGCTATGGAGGATACTTCTCAGCAGGGCAGCTCTTTGTCCTCTCCCTACCCCACCCTACCCTCAACCAGGTCAGGAGAATCAAAGTTCTTTGATTCGGATGCAACAAAATCATTTATGACAAAATACTGAATCTAGGGGACCCCCAGATTACCCCTATAGTGCACCCCATTCCCAGGGACAAGGGGCCAGAGAGTTGTGCCTATCCCAAGGGCTAGGTCTTCACAGCAGTTTGGAGCTCTCTCTAAGTCACTAGGGGCACCTAGGTGGCACAGTGGATAGAGTGTCAGGCCTAGAGTCAAAAAGACTCATCTTCCTGAGTTCAAATCAGGCCATAGACACTTACTTGCTATATGACATGGGCAAGTCACTGAACCCTGTTTTCCTCAGTTTCCTCATCTGTAAAATGAGCTTAAGAAGGAAATGACAAATCACTCCAGTGTCTTTGCCCAAGAAAACCCCAAATAGGGTCATGAAGAGTTAGACACGACTAAAAGATGACTGAATGATAACAAGAAGTCACTAGATTATGCATTCACTTTGACTCAGGGATACCACTATGAAGCATATGCTTCCAAAGAAATCAGACAAACAGAAAGGACTCCTACATATATAAAGATATTTATAGCTATATTTTTTTGTTATTACAAAGAAATACAAAGGGTGTGCCTATTCTATGAGAAATTACTGAATAAATTACGGTACATGAGTTTAATGGAGTATTATTGCATCAATAAGACAGTAAAAAAAGGAATGGATTCAGAGAAACCTGGGAAGACTTATTTATGCAAATTGATATAGAATGCAGTGAGCAAATCTAGAAGTATTTTAATGTAATAGTTGTAATATTATCAAGAAAACAGCTTTGCACTTTGATCATTATGTTATTACTATAATCACAACTCTGGAAGAGTAATGATGAAACATTCTTCAGATGATGACAGCCTATAGGTCCAAAATGAGACATGCATTTTTAGACACAACTAGTGCAACATGAATTTGTTTTTGCTTGAATATACCTGCTTGTTACAAGAACAGGTTTTTGTTGTTGTTTTTTGCCAAAAGTAGAAGAAAAGAAAAAGGTGCCAGTGAAATATTTTTAAAATATATTGAAGAGAGCAGAAGGAATTTCACAAGGTGAAACAGATAAGCAAGGGTGGTGTTGGTAGTACTGTGTTAAATTTAATATATACTTTTAAAAAGCTGTATATAATACAGATTCATGTTTTCATTTACAGTTTGCTTTTTCTGTTCTCTGTATATGGACATATTCATTTTTTATGTTTGTTAAGTTAAAAAAAATATTATTTATACAGACCATCTAGACAATTGATCAAATGTTATGGAAGGGCAACAGCAGGTAGACCAGTTTAGCTGGAACAGATATGTGGGGGCCAGTAATGTGAAAATTAATCAAGGCAAGTAAATTGGAGCCAGATAATGAAAAGCGTTATGTGCCAAATAGCGGGGTTTGTATTTTATGGTAGAAGACTACTAATGTGTCCAGAGCTGGGCAGTAAGTAACATGTTTGTAGTTATGCCTTAGGAATATCAATATGGCAACAATGTGGGTGATAGATTATAGATGGGAAAGCTGAAAGCAGGAATTCCATTTTGGGGGGGGGGGTTGTTTGTTTTTAATCCTGCACATTCGAGGTACAATTTGCAGTATTCTGAGAGAACAGGGATGAAAGTCTAAACTCACGTGGTGATAGTATGACTGGAGCAAAGGGACAAATGCAGATGTTCTTGATTTAGGATTGACGAGAGCAGCCTTTTGGATAGAGAGTGAATTGAGAGAGTAAAAAGTTCTGAATATGCTTCTGAGATGGCAAACCTGAAAGGATGGCGTGCCCTTGATAAAAATAGCACAGTTTGGAAGAAGGTTGAGTTTCAGAGGGAAAGATAGTGAGAAGACACCATAACAACATATCACAAAGATTACACTATCACTAGGTTGGATTTATTCTAGAAATGCAGGGTCGGTTCAATATTAAGACAACTATCCATATGATAAACTATATTCAAATAGCAACAAAAATAATGTGATCATACCAATAAATGCAGGAAAAAAGCTTTTGAGAAGGTACTGTACTTGTGCCTATTTAAAAAAAACACTAGGAAACAGGAATAAGTGAACTTTTCTTTAATATGATTAGTATCTATCTAATTTGATTTCTATACTAGGGAGAGTCAAAACAGAGAAAAAAACTAGACTAATTTCCCTAGTGAGACTTGATGTGGAAGTTTTACATATAATATTAGAAAGGTGAAAGATAATGAGTCTTATTTTCACATCTTGAGTTTGAGATATCTGTGGAGACTTTCACTTCCCCCATTTTAGACCCCCTTGTCTAGCTCTGATCAGGGGTTGGAAATCTCATCCCAGTTTGATGCTGACTTTCCCTCATTTTCATCTATGCAGGAATTAACCCCAGAATTTTATTCCACTCTTACTTATCCTTGGACTCACTACCCCCTTTCCCATCAGTTGTTGGTCAGGACTTGGTGGTTCATCTTGCTTAGATGAGCAGGAGTTGCTGTCTCTGGTCCTTTTATAAAGATGTTGAACCAAAGAAGCCTGTCTCTATACCCTCTAGGCATTGTCATATGATCGATTGTTGTACTCTCAGGACTCCTGGGCTTTGTTACTGCATCCTAAGGACGACTGAGCCTATTCACCTGTCCTGTTGAAGAACCCTACTATCTATGCTGTCTCCCCTAATTTTAATGTAAACTCCTTCAGAGGATGTTTATCCTTGCTTTTCTGGTTGTATCCACAGCCCTTATCTTAATTCTTGGTTCATAGAAAGTGCTTAGTAAATGCTTTTCTGTTCTATTCCATTTCATTCAGATGGAGATGTACACCCTTGTAGGGCACGAGGGCTAAGGGGAATGATTTGGACTAAATATATAGATCTGGAATTCAATTAAATATATAGATCTGGGATTCATCTTTGTAGAGGATAGTTTCATCCATTTGACCTAATGAGATAAGTGATATTTAAGTAAGAAAAGAAGAAGGGCCCATACAAAACTTTGAAGTATATAACAAATGTAGACAGCAAGAGCCTGTTATTTTTGTATTTATGATTTCATGTACTGGGTCAACAGTCTTTCCATGTAAACAAATTTCTAAATTTAGTATAAAAGTAAATAGAAATATTGGGTTCAATATGTGGAGTTCTGGTCTAATCTAAAATCACTCCTTTTCTCCTGGCTCTTTAACCTGCCCTCCTTTTTCTTTCCAGTCTTGTTACAACTTCTACCCTGCTATGTACCTTGTAGTCCAGTGACACTGGCCTGGTTGCTGTTCCTTGAACGAGGTATCCCTTCTCCTGACTCCAGACATTTTTAGTAGCATTCTCCCATGTTTGGAATGCTCTTTCTCGTCATCTCCACCTCTTGTTTTCCCTGGCTTTCTTCAAGTTCCACCTAAAATTCCAACCTTTACAGGAAGCTTTTCCTGATCCTCTTAATTCTAGTGCCCTCCCTCTGCTGGTTATTTCAGATTTATCCTATACGTAGTTGTTCACATGTTGTTTCTCTAATTGTATTGGATGTTCCTTGAGAAAAGAAACTGTCTTTTTCCTTTATTTGTGTCTGCAGTGTTTAACACAGGGCCTGGCACATAGTAGGTATTTAATAAATGTTTATTGACTGATGAACTTCTCTATTGCCTACTAATATGCATAGAGTTTAGTTTACTTCATGGAGTTGTTTTTTTTTCCCCTAATTAAAAGAGGAGATTTAATATACAAGTGCTACATATAACCACACACACACAAAAAGTCAGTCTAGAATATCCAGGGAGTATGTGGTGCATAACTAAATGAATTGTTTTTAAGGTAGATAGACCTTGCATTAAAAGACAGAATGTACTATGTTGGAGAATTCAAATGGTAGGAATAGTCATATATTAGATAGTAGATAAAAAAGTTCTAGAATAGGTGGGTGAAGTAGTGTAGTCTTAGGTAGCTCATCTCCAAGGGCATTAGCCAGGTGTGGAATTCTACAACTCTGCTTCTGTGGTCTCAGGTCAGCGCAGTCAGACTGCTTGGACCTGCTGCCTCCTTTTCCTCTTGTATTTCAACCTATGTATTCACTTTTTCTGCCTGATGCTCATGGTAGACAGAGCTGAAGTTAGGAGCACTGGATAGAATTTCATGAGCTACCCTCTTTACTGCCCTTCCTGTCTTCTACCTTCCTTCTTGTTACTCTATCCCTCCTGTACTGAGACTTATTTTTATTCACTTAATCATAATGATTAGTACCTGAAATAGACTTTTATAATGATTAGTACCTGAAATAGGCTTTTAAGTAGAGAGAAGAGAATTTTTGCCTTGGTAAATTTGTAAAATATAAGTTTTTAAAGCATCCATATTTTGTCATGTCTTTATAGTTTAATGTTTCTTAATCATCTACAGAAGATTGTCCTAGCATCAGAAAGGGGAGAAAGGAAATAAACCCCAAAATTGTGATGTATTTCTCTCTTTTTTGGTTTGCCAGTGCGGTTGGAACATTTGCTCGAGCCCTGGATTGCAGTAGTTCAGTCAGACAGCCCAGTTTACACATGAGTGCTGCTGCTGCTTCCCGAGACATCACTCTGGTAAGCTCCTTTTCTGAAGACTGTTCCAGTTGTTCCTTTCTTTAGTTCATTTTTTCCTTATCTTATAAAAGTGACCACCAAATGAAAGGCTATTGATGTTGACATATTATACTGAAAAAGTTATCCAGTGTGTTAATTGAATGTGTATTATGGTTTCTTTGGATGCATCAATCAACCAGATAGTTTGATGTTTGTTTTCTGATGTGATTTCTTTCCAGTTTTTCTAATTGTTGCAAAAATAAAGCATTTATTATTCAAATGCAAAATATACATTAGCACCGCTTACCTAAAAGCAGTGAAATGTGACTATAGTTTGAATTAGTTAGTTCAGTCATACTTATTTATAAGAAAATGATAAATTAATATACTTTGCAGTTAGTGGTCATATTAATATTGAAAGATTACTCTTCTAGTTACTTTTTAAAAAAAATTGTAGAGAATTGTAGCAGTTTTGAACAATCCCAATATTTGCATAGACCAAATGAGGAAGTACTCCCAGTTAAATGAATGTTCTTGAATTATAGAAGTATGGCCTTACTTTCCTAATATGTGAAAATAATCACATTGCTGATATGTCTGCATCTGTATTCCCAATTGTAATGATACAAAGGTAACGATGAATGATGTCATTTGTACCTCTGGTGAAATGAACCTGCAAACTTTATGCATTTTGACCTCAGTTGTTAGGATGCATTGAAGAAAATATATGTATATTAGGTAGACATTGTATAACATAAATAAAACCTTATTAAAAGTGTTCTTTTTTGTTGATAAAAAATTTGGTTAATAACTACTTAAAATTGATAAATAGCTATAATAATAATGTGAGTTAAATCAGTGTACTCTTTAATACAAATAATTATGTCAGATGTTTTGCATAGTAGTCATTGTGGTCTTAACCTGATATAAGGCAACCAATATTACCTTCTGGGTCAGATTATTATTCTGTAAATATAATATACTCACTTCTTCACACTTTTTAGAAAAATCCTTACATGTGCAATTGCTTTTAAGGATTCATGGCTCTCTAAGATTCTTGGCACTCAGCAGCTTTTATATTTTTTTCTGTCTTAAAGGCAGCTTTGCTTTTTAACACTTTTCAGGACCAGTTACCAAGAATTTCCATGAAATTAGCTCAGATTAATTATGGCTTTAACCCAAGGCTCTGTCAAGGTTCTTGACTCTCTTCTCTGCTATCTTTATAGTCTTTTGCTTGATGACCTCATCTTTCTCCAGATGACCAGCCCTGTTCTCTTCTGAGCTTTTGTTTCCTAATCACTAACTGCTTGCAGCCCAGGATTTGTCCTGTATTCCTCACTATCTCTCACCCTGCCACCCCCCTATACAGACTGTTGCCAGGGCCTGTCAACGTCACCTTTGCAACATCTCTTTCCTCCCTCTGACACTGCCACCCCTCTGGTGCAGACCCTCATCGCTTAACACCTTGATTATTGCAATAGGCCACTGGTGGCTCTGTTTGCCTCAAGTCTCTCCCCACTACAATCTGTTTTCCATTCAGCCACCAAAGTAGGGTTCCTATTATGTCACTCCCCTACCCTGCCCCAACTTAGTAAACTCCAGTAAGCTTCCTATTGCCTTTAGAAGCAAATACAAAATGCTCTGCTTGGCATTCAAAGCTCTTTATAACCTAACCACCTCCTACCTTTCCAGTATTTTTACACCTCACTCCTCAATTTGTACTCTTCAGTCCAGTAACATTGGCCTCCTGGCTGTTCCATGATCAAGATACTCCGTCTCTTAGCTTTTTGGCTGTCCTTATTCCTTGAAAACTGTCCCCCTCCTCTGCTCCAACTACTGACCTCCCTGGTTCCCTTTAAGTCTCAAATAAAATCCCACCTACAGGAAACCTTCCCCAACCCCTTTCAATTCTAGTACTTTTCCCTCTTAATTATTTACTGTTTTATCCTGTATGTGTATTTGTATCTGTCTGTTTCCATGTTGTCTCTCCTGTTAGATTGTAAGCTCCTTGAGGGCAGAGACTGTATTTTATCTCTTTTTGTGTCTCTGGCACTTAGCAGAGTGCTGATACATAGTGTCTGAGAAAAAAAATATAAATTGTGAGAGTCCAAGTAAGGAATTGTTTTGTTGTGGGTCTGCTAGTAGAAAAATGACAATTGCTTGATTTATTTTTGTGTGTATCTTTACACTTAAACACATATATAAAATAGCTGAAATATATGATATATTTTCATTCATTCACATATAAAGTGATAAGTTTCATTTCTTTCATATGTGTCAATTTGAAATGTTTTTTTTTTTGGAGGGGGGGGCTAGGCAATGGGGTTAAGTGACTTACCCAGGGTCACACAGCTAGTAAGTGTTATGTGTCTGAGGTCGGATTTGAACTCAGGTCCTCCTGAATCCAGGGCTGGTGCTCTATTCACTGCGCCACCTAGCTGCCCTCTGAAATGCTTTTTACTGGGTGTAACTTCTCTTGAATGTGAGAACTGATAAGGTAAATTGTACAATGCAGAATTTCCTAGAACTTAAGCCTCTAAAGTGACTTGATTTTCCACTATTACGTATTTTTAATATAAATATCTATTGATAAATTTGAACAAGTATATAAAAATAAAAGTTGAGGCCATTAAGAACCATTTAGGCTATTTTGTTAAATGTATGGATATTTTAATAATAAGCAAATCTTAATTTTTTTGGGAAAGTATCTGAACTTTGATAAATGTTTATATATTTGTAGTTCAAAGGATTCTAGTTAAAAGTGAATATTTCAGAATCCCGTTACAGGTATAGATAGTTTTCACTTTATATGAATTCATATTATACAAATTCAACTTTCCAAAAAGAATTTTGAAATCCACATTCCAAAAAAAACACCTATGTTAACTTTGCTGTACAGTATTGTGCTCTCTCTCTGTCTCTTTCTCTCACTCTCTCTCTCTCTCTCTCTTGCTCTCTTGCTCTCTCTCTCTCTCTCTCTTGCTCTCTCTCTCTCTCTCCCTCCCCCCTCCTGCCCCTTGGCTCAGTGCTCCACAGCTTCCCCCCACTCCCCTCCCCACCAAAAAAACTCTTCAAAGTGAAAGCAGAAGAACTGACACATACAGTGACCACAGTCTCTTCAGCCACCTCTAGATGGAGCTTGGCTTGAGACCTCCAGTACTGAAAGCGGAGACCTTTGTCCTGCTCCCTCCACCTGCCCATGTATCTGACCCCCGTATGTCTGTCTTTCAACTGTCCGTGCTTGGTAAGATGTCTCTCCCTAGGCCTGACATGTCGCCTTGTCCTCTACTGTCTATGTCTGTGGCCCCCATGTGGCTGCCCTGCTCCGGTGTTCTTCTCTGGCCAGGCCACCGTGTGGTTGGCCTCAGCCCCCTTTTGTGCCTCCCTCTGCTCTCATTGTCTGTCCCTGGCACCCATGTCTCCTTAAACCGAATGCTGGCCCCCTCCCTCCACAGGCGCTTGGCCTCCTTCCTGCCTCCCTTCCTACCTACCTCCCTACCACACATCTGGAGGCAAATTCACATTATGTAAGGAATGGTCCAATTACATAAAGTGAGAATTGTCTATATCAAAATAGAAATAGCACGTCTGGACCTTCAGATTTGACATAAATATCCATCTATATTGTATAAGTTGAAAGTAGTTGTGATAGACATCATAGAATGTCAGTCAGCCTTTCTTTAGTCCTTTTCTTGGCTTAAATAAGAAACAAAACAAAGTTCTTTATGAGGTGCTCCTTTTCATATGAAGAAATTTAATCCCTTTCACTGTAGCACTGATATTTCAAGTAAATGTGTCTTATGGTAAGTCACCAATTTATGAACAGGTTGGGTTTTAAAAATTTATCAGTTTGTAACTTAAAATTCATTTCCCATAGAAACATTTTTTTTCAGTGTAGTCAAGCTCCCTGTCAAGCCACCAAGTCTATTATCTTATACCACTTTGCTACCAATAAAAAACACTTAGCTTAGTGCCTGGCACATGGTAGCACTATGTAAATGCTCATTCTCTTCCTTCTTCCCCTAATAACTTTATATTTAGACAACAATTACTTCTGCTTCTTCTGAGGTGGGGGGGTGAGAAGGGGAGAAATTCTCCATTTACCATAGTTTTTGCAAAAAGAACCACTTTTTCCTTTCTCTCCCCCCCAATTAGAGAAGACTGTATGATATATATAAGGTATGAGATTTTAGGGCCATTAGAGCTGTAATTCTGAGGACGCCTAAGAGAGCAGTGCATTGGTATGAGCAGAAGAAGATCAGTGGGCTTCTGGAGGGAAGTTAGCTGTGCCTCTTGAGGCATCCATCCCTGGTTAGGACTTTGTTGAAGAGGTTGAGGGAGTAGAGGAGTGAGCATCAGCGACCATTTGAACTCATGGGCCATTCTTGTCATGGGCCACCTTTATGCCTTTGTTATAATAACAACGATTTCAGTAGGGCTTTAGTTAAATTTGTTCATACATCTTTCTCCATAGAGTCTTTTACACTTTTCAGCACTGCTTTCTTCTCACAGAATCCTGCCTATTGGAATGTTGCTTTCACAATTTCTTCTCTTGTTGTTTCCTGCTTTCTAATGTTTTTCCCCCCTTGTATGTTTCTAATTGTGATGGCCACATATTCTTTTTTTTTTCATTCTCTGAGGAATGATTCCTAGCTGCAAATGCCATACTGCTTTCACCCTTTACATTAAATAGGATTGAAGAAAATCTACTCTTTTTGTCAGTAAAATGCTAATATTTTGTTTTCTACCTTAAGCCTCTTTTTTTTTCCCTTCCATGTTTCTACTCAACACTTTCTAGATCATTTTGAGAAGAAATCAATCATGCTCTATGGTTTAGTACAAGAAGAGTGTTCTTGGATGTGTGTCCATAGTAGGCATCATTTGTCTTGGTGTCTGTGGAGCTCTGGACCACTCACACAATGCTTTCTGCTTTACTGAAAGCTTCCAAGGATCATGAAAAACCCTGATAGGCACCCAGAATCTCTTTATACGTAGGAGTGGATTCATCAATCAATGTAATT